TTCCTCAGAATGAGAACTTGATCTAACCATATACAGGGTGGCTACTAAATATTGGCGCATGGTTATTGACCATATTTCCAAAAAGAGAAGCTATTACATCTTCAGAGGTTTATCTTTATATACAGTAAACATAACAATTCATTACTAAGAAGTGCTCGGAATGGAAGTCCTTCGGCAGCGATACAGGCTTCAAGTCTCTTCTCAACTGACATCACCGTGGGCCGCAAGCAGTTTTCGTCGAGTTACTTCAACGCTTCCTCCTAGGAAGCCTTCCTTCAGGAAGTCCAAACTTCGATGTTGCCTAGAAGGCATCTTCTGCTGCAGGAAGCCCCACACCGCAAAATCCATTGGGTTCAATCGGGTGAGTTAGATGGCCAAACATTTGTGACCAGTAACCTGGAAAATGGCGGTCACAGAACTCCAGCGTAGATTTTGCGGCATGGGGAGGCGCCTAGTCTTGCTGAAGAATGCACTGACATTCGCTGGAGGTCGAAACAGTCCATGGAAGGAGCACATCACGTAAAATTGTTTCCTGGTAGATCTGGGCGTTAATTTTGACGGATTTGTCCACAAAGACAAGCGGTGTCTCGGTGTCGGAAGTAATTCCTGCCTAAATCATGACAGATTTTGGAAATCGGCTCCTTGTGTGCGCACGACGTCGAGCAGAATGTCTGCTAGCCGGATCCAACAATTGCCTGTCCTTTTGAGAATTGTGCGCCAATTCCAGTGTGAAGATCTTCTCGCGTCACGTTGACGTCACTTACTTGCGGCCCACGGTGATGTCAGTTGAGAAGAGACTTGAAGCCTGTATCACTGCCGAGGGAGGCCATTTCGAGCACCTTCTTCAGTGATGCATTGATATGTTTTACTGTATATAAAAATAAACTTCTGAAGATGTAATAGTTTCTCTTTGCAAAAATATGGTCAATAAACCATGCGCCAATATTTAGTAGCCACCCTGTAGATTCTCCGAGAATGATCGCATCGTCCGGTTTCAGTTAACTTTGAGAAGCTTTCACCCCAAGAAGTCGACTATCCTGACACATACGACTACGACTCGATCATGCACTATGATTCCCATGCATTTGGTAGAATGGATCCCTCAACGCATACCAGACTTGTCACGATGATTCCTCTCAAGGTTAGTGTCGAAATAATCGGTCCAGGAAATACAAATACTCAAACGATTCCAGAAGGGCGTTACCCTCGACGATAATCTGAAGATGTCAGAAAACGACATAGCGAAGCTGAACCGATTGGGAAACTGTACCGTTTCGAAAGGTTCGTATTACTATTCTTGTGAACAGTAGCAAGAGCCAGTAACATTTCCGTGTAGTCGTGTTTGGCGCACGTAGCACCGCACCCTTTTCGGGGAAATATAATACAAGGCAAAGAGCAGTTGTTTTTTGTTTGTGTGCCACACAGGTTTTGTACGGTGGAATCTTTATTGAGCCTGACGTTTCGACTATATCGTCGTCCTCAAAGGCCTGAAAGCGTTTTGAAAAACTCAAATGTTACCTATCCGCTCAATATGGATCCACATTTGACCAAGTACGTAGGCTAATGAACTAAGGAGTGGGAACTCCAAGATTGGGTCGCTTACCTCAACTCCACCAGCGTCACCGCTTCTCGCTCAACAGCCTCCCTTGATGCCCTCCAGAGACAGTAGAATAAATGAGACAACCAGTCGTGCACTGCTTATAAAGAGCGTACGTGCACTGCATGACGTTCTCATTGTCATAGTTCACAAAACGATACGTCAGGCTCAATAAAGATTCCACCGTACAAAACCTGTGTGGCACACAAACAAAAATCAACTGTTCAACATCAAAATGCCCAGGTTTCACGAAAGGCGAACATGGAGGATATCACAAGGTAAAGAGTTTGTTAAGGCGCTAACTTTGAACACCTATGTTGTAGCGGGACAGTGAAAACTTTAGGCTATAAGTTAAGCATGTCGTACACGAAAACCTTTATCCTAGCGACACATCATCTCTCTAGTCGTTTTCAGTTCACTGCAAAAACTTTTTTAGAGTCACACAAGGAGGGAAACAGCAGCACTTGCATCGATACAGCGTTGAACTGCGAACGACTCAAAAAGGTTGCCGTTGACCCTTGTTATAATTGACTGTGGTTTTGCTGTAATAGAATTGATTTTCAGAATGGACTGTGCTCGTCATCGTCTCATCTCCAAGCCATGCTCAAGTATTGTCCAAAGACATGCCACCTCTGTGGACTACGGTCTGCAGATCCTTCCAGAAATTCCAATTCCTCACTCACGGAACAGCCGTTCACCGGTAGCGCTACTGATTCTCCTGTGCCTGCATGTCATGATGAAGTTTGTTACTAACTTTGATTGAAGATGTCGTCGAGGAAAACAAGATAGAACAGAAATTTGTTGCTGCTCAGAGGTCTTTGAGGCGTGATATTTTTTATTGCGTGCTCCCATTGCACCCACACTTCCACCGATAAAGAAATGTTTCTACAATTATTCACGCAGTATTACTGGACATTTCTAACCCTTGAGATCGATTAATATGTGGAGCGTTTTTGAGAACGAATTTTTTCCTGGGCAGCTTAAAAATTCAAAAATGTGGCAGAAACTTTCTGAGCCTACACAAGCATACGGTCTTCGTAATTTAGTAATTCTATTATTGCCTAAAAAGGTTTTTGTTCTAACAAAAAGCTTAGAGATTCATGAAGAGAAGCTAAACCATTAGGAAGTAGATGAAATTAGCCGCTATGGTGGACTGGGACATCAAACACTCGCCATTCCTGTTTTAGAACTGCTACAGCCGTCCAGCAAGTATTGAACTCCTTTTCACATTCATAAATGTGAAAAGGAGTTCAATACTTGCTGGACGGCTTTCACATTCATAAATATGCTTGAATGACTTTCGCGGTAAAGGGAGAATGTGAAGGAGACTGAAACCCACGTTAGTGCGACTCATCAAAAGTAGGTATATTATTTTTCTTCAAGTCTGCCTCGAAATCATACCCTGCAGTCGCGCGCACTGAACAAACTATGTTATCTTTCCTTCAAATTTCCCTAACCAGGGAAGGCATTCAAGTCCCATGGAACTTTGAATACCAGATATATCGATAGAGCTTCAAACGCTGATTACAAATATGGAAACTAAAACTGCAAAATGAACCTGCCAAGGAAGTTGTGAGCAGTCAAAAGTTGGCTGAAGTAAAGCGTTACATACGTGCCTCCAGGCTTTCAAAGTCGCCGTGGAGTAGTGGTAGTGCTCTCGCTCTCCAGCCGGAGGTCATAAGTTCTCTTCCGTTGGAGTGCAAATTTTGAGAGCACTACCACTACTCCACGGCGACTTTGAAAGCCCGGAGGCTAGCACGGTTCATATGTAATGCTTTACTTCCAGCCAACTTTGACTGCTCACAACTTCCTTGGCAGGTTCATTTTGCAGTTTTAGTTTCCATATTTGTAATCAGCGTTTGAAGCTCTATCGATATATCTGGGTCTTAATTCAAAGTTCCATGGGAAGTTGAATGCCTTCCCTGGTAAGATCTTAAATTAGGCTTGGTTTCGCCTTCTAGTTTGCTTGCAATTCTTCAAGACCTCTTTTTCATGAAAGCTTTCATGTAACCCTTCACCAAAGTTAGGCAAATACAACTATTGAGGTGTGCGCAGTGTTTCTGTACAATTGTGCTTGTGATTTTCTGAAACGATAAGTATGAGATATTACTATTAAAGGATAAAGGATAAAGCATTTGCCGTTGATCAATCCCTTTTTGGGATGCGGCACGCATTCTACTTCCATTTGTACATTCGTAGTGGCGTTTGAATGCGATGTGGCCTATACAATGACTTGCGGGGGCCAGCCGATGTACAAGTCAGTGTTTTTATCCTCCCAGACAAGTCTGGTACCAATTAACCGACCCCGGAGGGATGGAAGGCTTGGTTGGCCCGGGCGACTCACGACCCAGGATTTGATCCCCGGACCGCTCGCGTGGTAAGCGTGCCACTTGCCACTACACTTATCACTTCCATATATTATTATACATTATTTGTATTGTATGACTTTGCATTGCATAAATCCCTGTACAATGCTCCATTTTTCAGGATCCCCGATGTGACACGTATGCGATGAACGGATTCTGCACGAATCCATTCTATGCTCAAATCAGAGCCACAAAATGCATGAAGACATGCAACCTGTGCATCTCTATAGAAGAAACCGATTAGGATTGATTACGGAATTCCCACTTGTCACTATGACGTCTACATGCTGCTAGCGAGGAGAAAAGTTAGCGCTTCAAATCCAGGCGATCAGTAAAAAGCACTGGCGTCGGACGCATTGACTCATGCGCAGTTATTTTGTTAGCGAAAAAGATGTTTCAGACGTGCCAGCTGCGTATGCTTCTCAATAGGGGCGTTGTCATGAACAAGGGGCCCTCTATATCCTCCCATCACAAGTGTGAATATTGTATAGTAATTGCTCAATGGCGATACCGTATTTTGTGCCTATATTATTCATTTAGGAAATTGAGATTGTTGTATCAGCAATGAACTAGTGTGAAGTTTTAAACGCAGACCTAATGTCCGTGTTGTAGGAAAGTCACAATTGTATGTAGTCTATTTCATTTGATAGCAGGTTCCGATGTCTTTCTCCCAAAAGGTTTCAGCTCGTGTAAATGTAAAGCTTCGATCATCTGTGTATTCCTAACGTGTGGACTGTATATACTGTAGGATAATTACACTGGTGTGCAAAACTTAAGGACGAGACAGATGAAGTATCATAACCTTTTGATAGCTTTGTGGACCGTTTAACGGTTCCTGTTAACTGCTTTCTTTAGTGCCCTGTGGCAGCTCTTTGTATGTGTGGTTAAAGTAACAGTCCAGGGAGGGTTTCAACTAATCCAAAGCTGAGGTGTGGAAGCAT